AATGCAGAATACCAGCAGTAACAGGCTGCTTAATATATTATTGCAGGGATTTGGTGTTCATCTATAGCTGTGTTCTGCAGTGTGCCGCTTTTTTTTTTAAAACAGGAAACTTCTTTAAAACAGGTCCCCCTTACCTGTTTCTGAACCCTTGGAAGTCGCGGCGGCAGCTCTGTGGGCGTGTCCGGCCTGTGTGGTGAGCGCGGCGTACGCAGTGTAACTCGTGTATGGAGCTGTTAACAGGCGGGCGTGAGAGGCGAGCGGGAAATTAAAATTTTTGCCGACAAATCGACCATGAAAAACATTGACGTTTTGCATTGTTGTTTATAATCGACTAATTGTTGCAGCTCTACATTATTGCTGGGAGTTGTAGTCCTCTATAGCTGGTGGTATTCTCCATTGCGCTGTATAATGATTATACTGCGCAATGCAGATTACCACTGACCAGTTATAGAGGAACTACAAATCCCAGCAATAATACATTATACAGCGCAATGGAGAATACCAGCAGCTATAGAGGAACAACAAATCCCAGAAATAATATATTAACCAGCCTGTATAATATATTATTGCTGGGATTTGTTGTTCCTCTATAGCTGCTGGTATTCAGCATTGTGCCGCTGTATTATACAATGCACAATACAATACACAATACAATATACAATGCACAATACAATACACTTTACACAATATATTATACAATGCACAATACAATACTGTATTGTATTGTGCATTGTATATTGTATTGTGCATTGTATATTGTATTGTGTATTGTCAATACACAATACAATATACTGTATATACAATGCACAATACAATACAAAATAATACAATACAATGCAGCATACCATGTGCACTTTGTCTTTGTAACATTACATACCGCTCCCACTTCAGCCAGCTCCCGATCCCGATTCCCGATACGAGTCCGACCGTGGGTCACCAAGAGAGGGTGAAATCGCCTCCTCGCTCGGTTCCAACTTAAAAATTTGTGCACCGGGCGCTCCCGAGTCCCTCAACAGGTCGCCGTCGCCTCCAGGATGACGCCACTGCCGCCCCCCTGCCTGCTGGTCCGGTCCATCCGTTGCTCCGCATCCTGCAGCCCGCATCCTGCAGTCACTCACTGACGTAGCCAAGGAAGGACGAGACACTCAGTGAGACTGAGTGTCACTGAGCCTGAGACGTGAGACTGCACTGCACAGGTCAGCGCCGCATCCTTCAGATCCCGCATCCTTCAGATGCCGCCCGCCCGCAGCGGCAGCCCACACACAGAGTCTGGTCTCGATTGGGCAACTTTTCCGCTCTGTTCCCTGGCGCCGTAAGGCAAGTGCCCATCTTGCCTTGCGCTAGCGCCGGCCCTGCCCACTGTTCCCTTCCAGGTACTGGTACAGGTTCACATTTCACTCATCATTGAGCACTGGCTCTTGCAACAGCTCACTCTGGCGTCATATAGCATATTTAAAGAAAGGAAGGAAGCTGCACTCCAAACTGCCAAGTATTTTATTCCATTGCTGGATCAAAGTCAATCCACCTGAGCATCATCCCTCTGATAAAATTCACTCACGAGAGCTTATTTGTGGCGTCTCATTTTGTTACAAGTGGGACTTCTAATAACTGATGTCACCTGTATTTATTTCTATGCAGATTATGAAAGCTTGAGGATTGGAGGACTGGTCTTTGCAGTGGTCTTGTTCATATTGGGGATCCTACTGATTATGAGTGAGTTTATATGTGTAACCTTTTTTTATTTGTATTTGCACATCTGCTGTCACATGACTGTCAGATACACATAGCCATGTGCATCCATGGCTTTGCCTATTCAGGGCAAAATAACAAAGTATCTTTAAAGCCTGCTTCTGATCCATATGTTCTTGTCTTTCCCACTCTTCTCTTTTGCTTAAAGTCTTCACCCTGTGTAAGCTCCATGATTGATTGTGTCAAAGCTTAGTGTGTAACATCAGGTATAGAAAGTGGGATTAAATGTTAATAAATTAGATATATGTTAATATTTGAGAATTAGCTATCACCTCACCGCACATTAAAAGAATCCTCCAAACTTTGCAACTACAAATCAGGAAGGAGGGAAACATCCTTCCACATTGGAGCACCCCACTGTCCGGGATCCTTACTTATTTTACAAATATCTCTCATAAAATCCTGAATATTAGTTGTAAGGGGATGAGAGTTATTCCTTCAATGGTACAAACTTTCAGCTGCATGTGGATACATTGCCTTGTATAACCACCTAGGGACCAACGGTGGACTCTGTCCGCAACAATCATGTTGTGCTTTGACTCAGGATGCAATCAGGATGATGTGCTAATGTCAAGAATCTTAACTCTGACCCAGCCATCAGAGACGGTTGATCCATATAACCCAAGGCCACTTTAGAGGACAGAACTTTCCTCATACCCAGCAGTGTGACTCCAAAGGTGAAACTGGCCAAAGAGGAAGAGTCTGTCTCACATCCTTACCTCGATAAGTTAAAGGAGAACTATGAGGTGAGTGCCTTTCACTCACCTCATAGTTCTAGCCGACCTGTGACAATGAGACTGTCACAGGTCGGCTCAGTAGATCGGGAGGTGAGCGAACACATACCGGCGTTCGCTCACCTCTCGATTCTGTCACG